CACTTGGGAGCTTGTTCCTCTTCCTGCAGGTAAGTCTACTGTTGGTTGTCGTTGGGTTTATGCAGTCAAAGTCGGCCCGGATGGCCAGGTTGATCGGCTTAAGGCTCGTCTTGTTGCAAAAGGATATACTCAGATTTTTGGGCTTGATTATAGTGATACTTTCTCTCCCGTAGCTAAAGTAGAATATGTTCGTCTCTTTTTGTCCATGGCTGTTGTACGTCGTTGGCCTCTTTATCAGTTAGACATTAAGAATGTTTTTCTCCACGGTGATCTTGAGGAAAAAGTTTATATGGAGCAACCACCTGGTTTTGTTGCTCAGGGGGAGTTTAATGGTTGTGTGTGCAGATTGCGAAGGTCACTATATGGTTTGAAACAGTCCCCTCGAGCTTGGTTTGGTAAGTTCAGCACAATTATTCAGGAATTCGGCATGACTCGTAGTGAGGCTGATCACTCTGTGTTTTATCGGCATTCTGCTCCTACTCTGTGTATTTATCTAGTGGTTTATGTTGATGATATTGTTATTACTGGTAATGATCAGGAATGTATTACTAATCTGAAAAAACTTCTCTTTCAGCACTTCCAGACTAAGGATCTGGGCAGATTGAAGTATTTTCTAGGTATTGAGGTCGCTCAGTCTAGCTCAGGTATTGTTATTTCACAGCGGAAGTATGCCTTAGACATTCTTGAGGAGACTGGAATGATGGGTTGCAGACCTATTGACTCTCCTATGGATCCGAATGCTAAGCTTCTGCCTGGACAGGGGGAGCCTCTTAGAGACCCTACGAGATATAGGAGGTTGGTTGGCAAATTGAATTACCTCACAGTGACTAGACCTGACATTTCTTTTCCGGTGAGTGTTGTAAGTCAGTTTATGGATTCTCCCTGTGATAGTCACTGGGATGCAGTTGTTCGCATTCTTCGGTATATAAAGTCAGCTCCAGGCAAAGGATTACTATTCGAGGATCGAGGCCACGAGCAGATTGTTGGGTACACAGATGCTGATTGGGCAGGATCACCTTTTGATAGACGTTCTACGTCTGGATATTGTGTTCTAGTAGGAGGTAATTTGGTCTCGTGGAAGAGCAAGAAACAGAATGTAGTTGCTCGATCTAGCGCCGAAGCCGAATATCGGGCCATGGCTATGGCGACGTGTGAGTTAGTTTGGGTCAAGCAGTTACTCAAGGAGTTAAAGTTCGGAGAAATCAGCAAGATGGAACTAGAGTGTGATAACCAAGCTGCTCTTCATATTGCGTCAAATCCGGTGTTACATGAGAGGACTAAACACATTGAGATCGACTATCACTTTGTCAGAGAAAAAATACTTTCAGGAGATATTGTTACAAAGTTTGTAAAGTCAAATGATCAACTAGCAGATATTTTCACTAAGTCTCTTACTAGTTCTCATATTAGTTACATGTGTAACAAGCTCGGTACATATGATGTGTATGCACCGGCTTAAGGGGGAGTGTTAGTTTATAGATATGTATAGTGTAGTCTTGTCCCACATTGGAAGAGGAGTAATATCTCCTTGTAGTGTATAGCTATAAATAGGGACCTCTTGTATTGTATTTATCATCCAATATCAATAACATATTTTCTCCCGTGCTTTCTCACAACATCTATCTTGTGGAGGTCGAGTATTAGGGTTGTAGGTTAGGAGGTAGTTGAGTCTCCCTTACTTCGTACCATTGTGAGGCTAGTTTGGTAGGGTTTTTGTCGATGTCAGCTAGTGGCATTGTTGTGTCTTACTACTCCTTTGTTTACCATAGTGCCGGGTCTATGCACTGTCTATCGCGTTTGCTTTGCAACTACTTTCTCATTTCCATGATGTTATTTTTCCTATGGTTTCTATTGGTGATACTGATATTGTCTCTTTTCGTCTTCTTGAGCGAGGGTCTTTCGGAAACAGCCTCTCTACTCTCTCGGGGTAGGGGTAAGGGTAAGGTCTGCGTACACACTACCCTCCCCAGACCCCACTAGTGGGATTTCACTGGGTCGTTGTTATTGTTGTTGTTGTCAATGACATCTCAAACTGAGCAAAGTCGAGCACATCTATGACCTAAGCAGCCTACTTCTTTAATGGGATGTAATTTCCTAACTAATAAAATCTAAGTCCCAATGCAACAATTCACCAATCAAGCCCACTAGAACTGCACGTGTCTCATGACAAAGATACCGACAACAAGGATAGCAGAGCATTAGAAACCAAATTGGATGTAACATAAAATGAAGATGGTAAAAGAAGTAGTAGTTAAGTGCTCTCTTTTGACATTTGAGGAAATCAAGTTCACCATCTTTATAATAGATTCTATTAACAACAAGAGCCAAGATGGTAAACGGTCTAAAAATAATCTTATCTTTCATACCGATAATGTGTCTTCAAGCTTCTTAGTTTCAGCAAGTAACTTCTTCTCGTCGATGAACGGCAATTTTACAACTGCCTGTTTTACAGAGGAAATCACAATTAGTCCACAGATATCAAGCTCTCAAATAAGTAAACAGCTAAAATCATATCAGAAAACCACTAGACATTCGAATATTGCAGTAAAAATACCTGCCATGCAAAACGCTTTCCATTCATGTCAAGTTCAAAATCTGAAGGAACAAAAGAATTTATGGTGAATGATGGACTTCTGAACAAGAAGAGATATATAGTAAACTGAACTGCAGTAAAATGTTGACATGACACCTGTTGGGTAAAAATCAGAAATTGGTGATGATGGATCCATCATTAGCATCCTGTACTTTTCAGGAAGAGCATTTGCACTGCAGGACAGGTAAAGAGGGGGGGGGGAAGAGAAACATAAACAACCACTAATGTAGAGGAATCACCAGCTCTGGATAAAAGATGCTTCCTTTGGCAAATCTTTCAATATGGAGTATGAACAACTTAAAGATAACCTTGCAGCTGGCAGAACACCCATTAGCTGATCAAAGGGCTTAAATGGTTCCCCTGGGAAAAAAGTAATTTCCAAGTCCGCCAGACCTTTGAGGTCAGAAGCAAATGGAGCATAATGATATGGGTAAAACCTATTAAAAAAGCGAATTGTAAGTGCACAATGCCACTTGAGCCACCTAAAATTTAGGAAGGACGAAGAGATGTTAGAAGAACTAAGATCCTCCCCTGTCCCGATTAATATGACAACTTTCCATTTTGAGACATCCCAAAATGTTTGACAGCATGTCACTAACAAATTATTCTGTACAACTTTCACAAATTTCAAGAATTCAAAGTCATTTCGTTATACAAACTTTAAAATTTGAGGTGATGTTTTCTCTACCAAACTAACTTTCAACCATTTCTTTAATATCTTTTCCACTATCACTAATATAATTCATTAAGTGAAACTAGAATTTTAAACTCTGTGTCTAGTGTTAAAGTGGGACTAGCCGATAACTTCTAATCAGTGCATTAGAGATTAGACATCAATAAGCAGGTTCCACTGTACTCGTGACTCACACAAAATTGATGAGGGGTAAAAAAGTAGGAAGAAGAGATTCTCCCAACTCCAACCACTATCCCCTCACCTCCAATCAAAATATAAATAAAAAGTTAAAAGAATGAATATCTGAATAATTGAAAATCCAACTATTACAATAGGAGTCATACACAACATCCCTACAAGGATAAGTGCCAAGTAATCAACATTATATATGTGGCACGCTGCATGAAGAAAGAAGCTCCATCTTTCTACCACGAAGTATTCAATAAAGCAATAACTTCACAAGAAATGTGTAAATATGAAGTGCAAATATACTATTCATTTATCCAGGAAAACAACAAACCATTGCCACGAGCAAACACCTTGGTAGTAATACCGGCAAACCCAACACAATCCTTCCACATACTTCTGAACCTGAAATTTTGAGATTTATCATCTAAAAGTTGAAAATAAGACTAAATTTCACAATCATATTACTAGCTATAGGATGCAAAATAATGTTAACTGCAAGAGAAAGGCAGGCCAAAAGGGAAGTTGGCCTGCCCCTCAAAGAAAGATCTTCCCCTGCAGACCCATCTCTCCTAGGCGGCCGTTAATAAGCACAGCAAATACATGTAAACAGATTTCCCAAAGTCGCAGATTTCGCAAAGAGGAAAATGGAATCTCTCAGCACAAGAGAGTGCCAAATTATACAAATCTAGGAAAGAGAAACTTCTTGCACCTATGTTCCCCATACTACTGTAACAAGTTCAATCTGCATTTTCTATATAATGCACCCTCATGCAAGTCTATTGAGAACCTTTTATCTAACAGTACAATTAGAGCTTAAGTGGTGCACAAAGGAAAAGGACGTAAGCACAGCTGAGGTTGCCATGCTATTTCCTCTCACAAAAGATACCAGGATCCAATATACTTCAAAACAAGAACTTCCTACAATCATCAGCATCTTGTTGTCCCATATGAGATTTTTCAGCAGATAATGTACTCACTCTATTTAATGAAGCTTGAGGCAGCAGATAAGTTTTTCTATAAGTTGAGGGAAGTGACAAGTATGCCCATAGTTTCATCCTTGGTTAAGCACGATGCAATACCATCATTTAAGGCATCTAGGAAAGCAGTGCAAGATGTGAATTGATTGTCATATGATGGTATCTGTGATAAAATGGATGCATGGGACTTCAGTTTCACTACAGTTTCTGATATTGGGAACAGAACTTGGTAGTATTTATAAACTATCCACTACCACTGTAATCACCAGAGGCAGGCAGTTACAGGCATACAGCGCAGCCGAAGCAATGAAACTAATCACCCATGTCTTCATAGATATGGTAATATCATGCTAATCTCTGAATATATGTAGAAGTTATCTACAACCTACTCAAAATTACATTCCAAACTTCTATAACATGAAAAAACATTTAAGAAATCATTTCCTCCAAATTCCACTCAAACCACATAGGTCTGTTCGTGCAGTTATTGCAGTTTTTTTTGGCCCTCATTCTTCAGATGAGTAGACCTATTAACATCCAAGTTATCCTTCACAAGTTAATGAAGGACGTGAATGAAACTGTTTTCTGGAGATTAGGAAAGAGAAAGACAGATCAAAAAGAAATTGGTTAACACGGATCAATTGGTATATTTGAGGAGATTTTTTCTTTAACCAAAGCTGAGGAAACATCTTTCAGAAAAAGATCAAGAGGTGTGTGGCTAAAATATGGAGATAGGAACATAGTTTCTCCCAGAGGATGGCTGATGTGAAGAAGAAGAACTGCATTGATCAATAGGAAGATGGCTAAAGACTGAGCTGTCAACTCTGTAATTTGAGATTTTACACTTCTCTGTTCATAGAAACTGAGAGTTGGAGGCCAAGATATGTGGATGACAGTCTTCCAATAAACAAGTGACAAAAAGGTGTGGCCGCTTAGACCTTGTTCACAATAAGAAGGTAGTGAATGGCTGAATGCTATCACCGTCTGTTCACCTAAAAAAGCACCTGTGCCAAATGGGTACACAACAGCATTCTACCAAAGATATTCTGATATCATCAGAGCAGATGTACTAAAAACTATCAACCATTTCCAATAAAGAGGTCCACTAGGGGACAGTCCAATGAGCTTCGTCGAAAGTGTATATAAGATTGTGTCTAAGTTGTTCAAAGAAAGAAGGAAGAAGGTTAAGAAAAACCTTATTCTAAGTCACCGCATGTATTCATAAAAGAAGCAGATTACTGATGTCCCCCTAATAGCAAATGAGATACCAGATGAGGGGGAGAGAAGGGAAGGCAGGAGTTTTATGCAAGCTGGGCACTGGATAAGGTCTACTATCATATAAACTGGAATCTTTTACTTAACATATACAACAACATGGGCCCAATGAAAGATGGATCACCTGGACAAGGTATTGTATGTCCACCTCCTAATTTTTCCATTTTATTCAATGGGAGCCCAATAGGTTTCTTTACTTCACAAACCTGACTTTGACAGAGAGATCCTCCGTCGCCTCTCTATTTCATCTTGATGATGGAAAGATTGAATAAATGTTGGTGAGAGCAGTAAAGTTGAGCTAGATTAGTGGCTTCAAGGTGGAAAATGACAGCAGGACTTGTGATCATAACCACTTGTTATATGCAGATGATACCTAAATACTTTATACGGTTGAAGGAAAGGCAAATGTGTCCTTTTTTCTTAAATTGAGTAAGGGCAAATATGTCTTAAAGTTGTATTGATGGCTTTTGAAGCTATATCTAATTTATGCATAAATATGAGCAGAAGTATCTTATTTATTTCAATTTTGTTTATTTATTTATCATAAGGAAAACAATTTCATTTATATGAGAAACTAACATATACAATCCGTCAGACGCGGATACAGGAATTAGAGTCTATGGGTTCAAAGATCAACAGAAGTTGACAGTAACCGGAACGAACAACCGAATCAAATAATAGTATCAACTTGTAAGTGTGTGTACAAAAATATAGAAATGAAAAATCAGTCAAACACGCTTAAACTCCATGCATATCACATTGGGTAAAGCATTTGAGACGAAAGGAGTAACTCCAACTTAAAAAATCACTTAGTTCTTTCCACTTGTCTACCAGTTCAATCTAATAATTTGTCAAACATTTTGTTCCTAAACTACAAACCCGTCACGGTCAAGAAACTGGGACCGGAAAGGTAGAACTGTATAACAATCCAACCTAAAAGGCACCTAGCTCTTTACTTCTAGAAGAAATATAACTCGAACAAAGAATGAACACAACGACCAACTTATCAGAACAGATGAGCATATTACAATTATAATCATTGCTTCTTAATTTGAACAAAACGAGCCGCAAGATGAATTGTGGCTCCTAAATACTCCGCCTTTCCAGTTTATGTGATGTTGTTTAACTGGGCACAGAGTTTAAGAAAGAAAGAAAAACTTTTGAAACTTATAATCTAAAACAAGCCATAGCTATTTGTGTGGCTATAAATCATCTCATTAAGGATAAAATGAGAAGTTTAAAGTTAAATTAATTCTAAATATAGAGGTATCATTCTTTTTGGGATATACTAAAAAGGAAAGTGCATCCATAAATTGGGAAAGACTAAAGTTGCTATCCTTGTCCTAAGCTTCATAGCTTTTACTTGTCTAGCACCAAGCTGCTGGCACATCATAGCATACAATACGTTTTAAACCAGATGTCACTTATCTAAAGTTGAATATTCACAAAATAGTTTCAACTTGAATTTAGAAACAGCATCTGATTGTTGCATCCTTTATAGCAAGGGCCAGAGGTTATGATATGTTATTACAGTCTTTCAGTTTAGAGCCAACAGCACTCTACTGATCATATGTCACAATGAAACTTAGCAATACTCTCTGTTCCATTTTATATGGCACTCTTTTCTTTTTAATCTATTTCATAGAATGACACATTTCTATATTTAAAGCTCTTATATTTATACTTCCCATCTTACCCTTAATGTCATGCTCTTATCGCCATAGAAATATCATGGCATGTTTAAAACTGTATGTTTTAAGGTACTTTTGGTATGTATCTTGTACTGTGTACACTTTCTTTCTTAAACTCTGTGCTCAACCAAGACACCGCCATTTTAATAAAATGAAACAGAGGGAGCACTACCCAGATGTAGAGGCAAGTAAACCACTTGATATAATGAGTAAATTATGAGAGGGTAATAAGAGTTTAACAACATTCTATGATGGAACTTACTACATCTTGTCTGACTTCATCAATACCCTCTGCAGTTGATACACCAAATTTCTCGGAATAGTACCTTTCCTTGTATCCAGGCTCCCCTAACTTCACCTGAAAGGTAATGGACTTTAAATAACATTCATGACGTGACTTACATTTATTTTAAATATATGCAGGCAGCCGTGCAAACAAATTTCCTTTTCCGCATATGCAGGCAGCCGTGCAAACAAACTGTCTTTCTGACAGTAACACGACACAGTATTTAGAAATCTAGTTTTACCTTCAAAATCAAGTAACATAAAACTCCTACAATGGATTGAAACATTAAAAGCAACAAAAGTAGGAGGGCCTCCAATCATATTGAGTGGTAATTTAAAGCAAGATTTCTGAATTCCATACGGTTACTATATCTAGCACACTTTTTGCTTTCCTCGTTTATTTCTTTTCTCTATTTCAGTACATTCTGTTGCTTCAGAAGTTTGTTATCAAATTTAAGATTTTCATCATATTCTTCCTTTTTTCTCAAGTATAAAACATACTATTCAACATTTTTTTTTATTTTGGTTAGGTAAAGGTAAACACACTATTCAACAATATTAATGTCGTAGAAGTGCAGTTGTTAAAATCATAAAAAGAAGTTGTCTCAAAAGACCTAATATATATTTATTGGCCATATCCTAGCACCCGTATCCGCACTCGGATCCATTACCCCCGAATCCTAAAATTTATGTGATGAAGAATCCGACCTCTAGATCCACACACCCGTATCGAATACCCGCGCCCGAGTCCGAGCAACATAGGTCAAAAGTAAAGGCAAGAAATTATTGGGAACCACAAAACACAGTAAAGAAGCACTGAAGATCATATCTCTCCAATTCCATAATTTAAACGAATAAACTTGTAGACCTTCAACAGAAAGATTTTTTTGAGAGAAGTTCAAATCTAATAAAAAAACGAATAATATAAGGGATAAAAAGGTAATCTCCCAAACCATACTATGAATAAAGATATTATCAACTACTTAATGAATTTTTGACATTGACTAAGGTATTGAAATCACACTTGATCTACTCCTATGTTTGAATGTTCCCTAAATATTGGTAAGTTTTCAAAAATCAGATCTATAGTACTTTAACATAGCTATAAGCCAATGTAATCTTCACTTTTGGAAAAACGTTGAGTTGATGTTCAACCCATGATTAGACAGTTTCAAGCTCATTCTCTGGACTCGGTTATTCATTTTGGGACAAAGTACTGATATTCAAAATCAAACAGAATCAGAACTTCGGCTTGATCAGTTGAATAGACTCTCCTGTATCAGGAAGTGTAACATTTAAGACAGATGAAGCACCTTGTCCTCCGCCGGAGGCTGTGGCTGAGCATTAACCTCATTTCTTGCTCTTTCATTATTTTCTATTGACTGCAGTAAGGAAAAAAAATCAAAAGAGTAAAAAATAATATAATAACAATAGTGAAACAACAAGAACGCCAACAAAAACAATGGTCATGATAACAATAATAATGAAGATGATGAGCAAATAAGCCGTAGATCATGTTCAATATTAAGCATGCTTGCTACCAAAGGCTTTAACTTTTGGAGCCAAAAAAGCAAAACAGACTACTGCTTCACAGAAACATGGTAGAGTAACTAGTTCAATTGTAACTACAATCCAGGATTTAGCATAAAAGAAGGTGCAGTGACTTGTAAACAAATTGGCAAAGCAATTCAGGCGGTGCCAAAAAGTCTGGTGAAATTGACGGAAATCTTAAGTATGAATTTTCTGAAACAGGCAGCAAGAAAGAAAGGCTTATGAGTAACTACCACATTGCTAAAACATCATTTCAACTGAAACTACAGACCAAACATTGGTTATACTACGAGTTTCAGAAAGAAAAAAAAACCTAGACTAGTCAGATACATAAGAAACCACCCTTACTTCTAATAAAGAGGCGCATAACTAAAAAGGAAAACGAATATTGGATATCCCTGACAAATAAATATCTTACAGCTCTATAAGCATGGTTAGATAACCAGAAACAGGTTTAAAAATTCTAATTTCTTCATAGGATATTCTCTGTATCATTGTCTGTGCTATGATTTTTAGGCAGGAATCAAAGAGATCACCTGCTTTATCCTAGCTCTCTTTTGAAAGATTTGGTCTTCATAAACTGCTGCCGCCTGAATAAAATGTTCTACTCTATCCAAAAACACCTGCAAATGAATGGTCATATTATTCACCCAAAACATAAGCTTTCTCACCTTCCAAAATCAGCTTAAGAACTTGCACACCAAGGCATATCAATAATCAGGTCCCAGTATACAAACGGCAATGCAGAGAAACTAACAGTATCTCTAGCTAATGCAAAAAAAGAACAACAATGCAAAGCTAGTCGTGTCTTGTATGACTACATAATAAACCCTTATATATATTAGCCTTTAATATTCAAGCTAATTACGTCTCACAAAATGAAGCGAAGCCTTTGAATCAAAGTGGTAATATTTAGAAGTAAATGAAACATAAGGACTATCAGATATGTTACCCGAGCTGTCCTGTAATATAAAGTTGTTTTACATACAATTGTGTGTAAAATGAAGCTTGAGGAAAGTAAGTGGTAATGGGCAAGTCAGGTAGAGGCGTAGAGCGTGAAAATAGATAAAACATTACTATAATGCCACCTAGAAGGTTTAGGAGTGTCTTTTCTTATTAGGCCTCCTTTTAATTATGGGTGACTTCACAGCTTTTGTGTAGTCTTTTAGTTATACATAATATGTTACCTTTTCAAAAAAAAAAAAGGGGCCACCTAGAAGGTCCCTGATTTTGACAACTAAAAAACATTATCTTCCACTAATGCAAGTCTTAAAGTTCAATTTCAAAGGGCTCATTAGCACACTTAGCTCAAGCTTCCAGTACCATAATGAACTCGGTGTGAAAATATGATCAAATAGAAAAGCAAATTATTTTCCAGTTAACCACCTCTGTAAAAATGAGATGGAGAGCAATCTATCCCAAAAAAAAGGAGATGGAGAGCAGGAAAGACAAATGTCTAACATTTGAACATAACCACCTGCTCTTTTTGATAATGGTAACAAGTTTTATAAAAGAGTAAAATATTTACAAGAGATTGTGTGAGCCACATTCAGACCCCAAAAGATCAAAGACTGCGTAGCCTATTCTGTTCGATTACATTTCTTCTAGCAAATCTAGTAAAGAGTGTACATCCTCCCTATAGCTCTCTTTGCACCAAAAATGAAATAACAAAAAATAATTAAGCTTAATTTTCTGGTAAGAGCTAGGCCTATCTTCAAAAATGATGGCATTCCTTTCCTTCCATATGACCCACCAAATGCAAGCAGGAACTACTTTTCACCATTTCTTCTGTTTAATATTTGCACCTCCATTGTTCCAGCTACTTAGAAGAGATGTAGTGTTATTGGGCATTGTCCATGAGATTCCAGCCAAATGAAGATATAAATGCCAAAGTTGAGTAGTGACTGGACAGTGTATAAAGAGATGGGATGCTGACTCCCCATCTTTGCCACAAAGACTACACCTAGCTTGTAGCTGAATTCCTCTCCTAATAAGATTATCCTGGGTTAGAACAACTTCCCTTACTACTAACCATGTGAAACATAAGACTTTTGTGGGCGCCCTGACCCTCCAAGTTTGTTTCCAGGGCCATCCTTGAGTAGGATTAGTAGTAGTGTTGAAGAAATGATAAGCAGATTTCACTGAAAATACTCCTAATTTGTGACCCTTCCACATTAAAACATCTTCCTCTTCTGTGAGACCATGGAAGGCTTCTAAGGTTTCCCAGAATTCTGCTACACTTTGCAACTCCCAGTCATTTAAGTTCCTTCTGAAAACAATATTCCACCCACGTGTGGATTTTGCTTCTGCTACTGAAATTCTTGGGTTCGCAGCAATGTTATATAAGTCTGGAAACTGATCATTCAGAGGAGTGTGCCCAAACCATGTGTCACACCAGAAGAGAACTCTTCTTCCATTTCCAACCTTGATACTAGAATGATCAGCAATGAACCTCCATTGTCCCCTAATTGTTTTCCATACACAGACTCCATATGGGGATGATACTGGTTTGGTGCACCAAGGTCCTCCATGGTCATACTTCTCTTGTATCACCCTTCTCCATAAAGTTGTTTCCTCCAAATTATACCTACATAACCATTTTGCAAGGAGACTGTTGTTCTGTGCCTTTTGGTTTCTAATACCTAAACCACAAAAGAGTATCCCATTTGACTAAGTGAATAGCCTTTATCTCACTATTTCCTTGCCAGATAAAATTTCTTCTTAGGGAATCAATCTTTTTCCTCACCTTACTTGGTATTGGGAATAAGGACATCACATAGGAAGGCAGTGCATCTAAGACACTATTCACCAGAGTCACCCTGCCTCCAAGTGACAAGTATTGACTCTTCCATCTTGAAAGTCTTTTTTCACTCCTTTCAATCACCCTTTGCTAGATTTCTTGCGACTTGTTTTTGGAGCCCAAAGGAAGGCCTAGATATTTAATAGGTAGGTTCTCTGTTCCACATTCCAAAATATTAGCCAAATTCTGTATGTTTGGAACTTCATTTACCTGATATAGCTTACTCTTTCCCCAGTTAACATGTAAGCCTGCAACAGCTTCAAAGGTTGTTAATATCAGTCTGAGATGAAGCATCTCTTCTGGTTGAGTTCCCATGAAAATGATAGAGTCGTCTGCATACAGGAGATGTGAAATCTCTAGGCTGCAATTTTGTCTGTTAAACACCTTGAAACCCTTAATCCAGCCATTTGACTTTGCAGTGTTGATCATATGATTCAACCCTTCCATTGCCATCAGAAACAAAAAGGGGATAAAGGATCCCCTTGCCTTGACCCCCTTTCTGAAGAGAAAAAACCTTGTGGTGAGCCATTAATCAAGATAGGGAATTTTACAGTGCTAAGATAGAAACGGATCCAGTTAATCCACTTAGTTCCAAAGCCCATATCATACATTAATCTCAGGAGGAACTTCCGGTTAACATGGTCGTAGGCCTTCTCTATATCCAGCTTGCATAGAACACCTGGAATTTTGCTTTTGAGTCTAGAATCAACCACCTCATTAGCAATAAAAGAAGCATCCATGATTTGTCTTCCTTTTATGAAAGCCATTTGATGACCTCCAATGAGCTTGTTAATTACAGTCTTTAGCCTCTCAGTTAAGACTTTGGCTATAATCTTGTAAACACTTCCAATCAAGCTAATTGGCCTAAAATCTTTAAGTTCTCTTGCCTCATTCTTCTTTGGGATAAGAGCCACATAGGATGCATTTAAGCTCTTTTCAAAGTATTCATTAAAGTGAAAATTCTTCAGCGTCAACATGACATCTTCCTTGACTGTTGGCCAGCATTTCTGGGAAAAACCCATGGTGAAGCCATCAGGTCCAGGTGCTTTGTCTGAAACACAGGACTTGAGGCATTCCACCACTTCCTGTTCTTCAAACTCTCTTTGTAACCATAAACGTTCCTCTTCTGTTAGTAAGGTCCCCCTATCAAGATTATAGTTTGGCCTCCATATTTCAGGTTCGGCATACAACTACTGATAAAAGTCTATGATTTCCTTCTTGATTTCTACAGAGTTTGTGGTCGTTTGCCCTTGCACCTCCAGCTTATCAATGTGATTATATCTCCTATGTGCATTAGCCATTTTGTGGAAGAACTTTGTATTCTTGTCCCCTTGTTTCAGCCATAAGGATCTGACCTTTGCCTCCATGATGTCTCTTCATGCTTAGCTAACTCCTGAATTTCTAGGATGAGGCCAGCCTTTTCCAATAATTCTCCTTCAATTCTCCTTCAGTGAGCTTTCTGTTTTCTTGAATCTGATCAAATACTGAGATGTTACTGAGAATTGTCTTCTTCCTTTTCTCTAGACTGCCATGCTCCTCCTTATTCCACTCTTTTAGCTTCGTTTTGAGTAGTTTTAATTTGGTGGCTAGCACAAAATCTGGCCCACCAACAATCACAAAGGAATTCCACCAAGTTTGCACTTTTGAGGGAAACTCGTCAACATCTAACCACCAATTTTCAAATTTAAAATAAGATTTGTTGAGTTCCCATTCCCCACATTTCAAAGAGATTGGTTTATGATCAGATATTACCTTTGGGAGAAGACTCTGTCTGATAAAATTAAATTCCTCATCCCACTCTATAGAGAAAAGAAATTTGTCTATTCTAGAAGCACATTCAGAGTTGTCACCTTGGTTCCAGGTGAACTGGCCCCCAGAAGTGGAGGATCAATCAATTCCAGTTCTTCCACGGTTTCTGAAAAATCTGTCATTGCTCTATTGTATGAGTTTCTATTTTTCCTTTCATTTGCAAATCTAGTGGTGTTGAAATCACCACATACCACCCAATTTCTATTACATAATCCTTTCATAGCACCCAATTCTAACCAAAGATCTTTTCTTTCCACTATCTTGCATGGAGCATACACCCCAGTCAAGGCCCATAAGAAATTATCTAACACTGAGCTAAAGTTACAAGTGATAGAATATCTTCCCTTTTCAACTAGTTCCCCCTTCCATTCTCTCTTATCCCACATAATTAAGATGTCTCCCCTTGTCCCTTCAGCTTCTAGCTTTATATGATCAATCCACCTACTGCTACCCAGTTGTTTTGCAATACCATCACAGTCCCCCTCAATCTTCGTTTCTTGCAGACAGTAAATGTTT